TTCCTTGAATTTCTATAAAGTCAAAACTATTCTTGTATGATTTATATTTGTGATACCATGAAAGCAGTTGAAGCTGTTTTCCAAGTTTAGAGCCGTTGATGAAAAGCCTTTGATTGTAATAGAAAAGGGTATGTATTAAACACTGACAATAGCAACTATGATCGAAGACAATTGGATGATGCTGAAAAAGAAAATTTCAAAAATGCAAAGTCGATATGTTGAGATTTGATTTCTTCTATCAATACTAATTTGGTGTTGTTCATATTCTTTGTACGTCTTGCGTATCGATGAGACAATATTACGAAATCTCATGCTATTATCTTTTGATGCATTTAATAAGTTATTATACAATTTAGTACGCCATTGAGAAAATGTTCCATGAAAATCGACGTCGTCTAGAATAATTTGATCGAGAAAATTCAAAAGGAATTTGCAAACATTTGACTTCAACAACAAAAACAACGACTTTTATTTCGCTTTTAAGCCATTATTCCACCACTCACGTATTTCCTAACACAGTAGTCATCTTCATTCACCAATAAACACAGATGGAGCAAATGAACATATTTTTTATTATAGGAAGATGACAGATAAATTTATTATCCATATCTTTCGATGTAGGGTAGAAATCAAAAAGAATAATAAACATAAGAAAAAACTAATAAATTCAGTAGTGCTCAAAAGTATCTGCCCTCTCATCTCATAGTTCATATGAGAGTTAAACAGCTGAAAATTTCTCTGCCGATTGTCCACAGATAATGCAAGTCAACAGAGACATCAGTGCCAAAATCGAATATGATTATTCTCTCTTGGAATACTCGAAATTCAAAAATCGTATGCTTCAAAATGCCTCGAAATTTTAACGACTATAAAATTATTAAAAAGCGCACATTTTTTGCGCGTTCATAATGCATTGCAAATCTTGAACGAATATCTGCATCCAAAAATCTTCACACGTTTTTCTTCGTTCTTTTAACCTGACTCTGTAGTATTGTTTTTAGACATAAAATCTTTCATTACTAATAGAAAAAAGAACTGTGCGTTAGCCGGGAGTCGAACCCGGGTCGGCTGCTTGGAAGGCAACCATGCTAACCGTTACACCACCAACGCTCAGTATTCTAGAGTAATCTATTCTGGGTCGCTATTGTTTTCCTTTCCTATTCTGAACGAGAAAGAAGAGCAAACTGTTAAGCGTTCTCTCTAGATTCGATGTTGTTCTATCATCTCTAAGAAGACATAAAAACTAATCAAAATAGTTTCTGATCATTTATTCCTTTTGATTATATTTAAACACTGAACTATGTGAATTATTTAGTCGACGACAAAAATCTTGCCCGTCTTGAAATCAATTTTTTGTATTATTTTTGACGTATGAGAATAGAATGCAACACACATATGTACAGAGTAGTTCGAGACATTTACGCAGTACATAGCAGTTTTATAAGTCTTTGCTGCTTCTTTGAGCAAAGTAAAAATATGTGAATACATCCATTTTTGGATGATTTGTTCAGAGATGAGATGGACTGTATGATATGAGCCCGGCATTTCGAACTGACGAATTTCTAATGAATGAATTACAATTCGAAATTTCGTGCTCAGTGTTCTTAGTATTGCCCATTGACGAAACATAGCTAAACCTCTTCCTTCTGAATGGTCAAAAGTGATAAACTCGAACTCACTTGATTCTAGCCATCTCAACTCTCAACAGGTCATCCAGAAATGGATATATTCACATGCTTTTACTTTGCTCAAAGAAGAAGCAAACACTTATAAAACTGCTATGTGCTACGTAAATGTCTTGAACTCCTCTGTACATATGTGTATTGCATTCTATTCTCATACGGCAAAAATAATATAAAAAATTGATTTCAAGACGGGCAAGACTTTTGTCGTCGACTAATTGTTCGAAGTCATCAAGTATTGGTTGATGAATGTGAAAATAATAGTTCGAATTCTATTGTTCAGTCAACAACAAACAAGGTAAATAGAGATGAATTTGTCGAATAGTTGCAAGTTGAATTTTCATCCAAATACTCGATTTGCAGGAAATCATGAAATACAATTATAATTAACGATTCGAGCTATAACTAATTGAACTCATTGTCATATTCTAATAAACTTAACTTTTCAAAAACTCCTCTCTGACTCATCAGTAATTGTAAGCGAGTAGTAATTAGATAGTGTTTATTGCAAGTGAAAAATATAAGAGTAGTAGTTTTTCGTTACCTAAGCATGAGACGAATTCGGATGATACTCAAAAAAATCGGACTAGTGATTTAATTCAAGGTTCGCGTTACTATTCAGATTAGGGATTTTGTGTTTCGCACATTTCCATTTGCATTCAATGTTCAGAGTAATCACATGGACTTGAAAGATGCAAACCCACTGTTTTCAAATATTTGAAAAGAAACACTATGTAGAATTTTCATTGCAATGAATTGTATTTTCGTTGCCGATTCTTGCTGTTGATTCAATCTCATCATTAGTAGACATCTTGAAAACACTGTCTTTCATATGTTCCCATAAATAAAATCCAAGTGTCGGTGAGGTTTCTGAGCGTAGGTCTTGTGCGATAGAATCATCTCTCTGGGTCCACATGTCAGAAAGTAAGAAGAAGAGTGTCACCAAGTCGATTTACTCATCATTGAATATCATCGCGCTGGCTTTTACAAAACTATTCATCTGCTTGACGTTATTGAAGATTTAGATCTTATAGACTACACATGTTACTTGCTTGATGGAATAAAAATCATTCGAATCACTTGATATTGATCACGATTTTCCGAACAGAAAAAGTGAAGCAGCATTTTATGTTCACTGAGAAGCTGATGAGCGACTACAATACTTTATTGATCATTTTACTCCTGACATCTGTGATTCAATAAAATTGTGATATCGATACATGTTCGAAAGACACATCCGAAGTAAGTGTTGTTTTCTTTTCTGTAGGATGCGGAGCTGGGAGTGGAGAGAAGAGAATAGCCAGATCCAGGACCACATCCACACCCTTCCTAATGCTCATAAGTTATTTAAACTTGAGCAAATCTCGAGTTGTTGCTTTCATTTTCATTTATTCATTTGTTTATCTGTCTCTGGAAGAATCTTACTGAACAATATGCTGAGATTAGCAATTCAAATTTGATAAATAGAACTTGTTTTTTCCTCTTGTATAATGCAAGATTTATTTAGTTCGTAGAGTTTTTTGTATATTCATTCCTCTTCCACTACACATATCGATAGGACGCAATTTTTTTTATCCTCTTGTAATCTTGATCTTCTTGATCTTGATGTCCCATAGGCTTATCGCCTGTTGGGGCCAACCATTGTGTGAATCAGTTTCTTTCACTGGTTCCTGTCTTGTGCTAGGTGAACCAGGTCTTGGCAGCTTCGACCGCACCATTCTGTGATATCGTCCATCCATTCTCTGCACGGTCGTCCTCTTCGAGATTTTCCGTTCATCCTGGAAAACATCGTATGTTTTAGTAGTCTATTATTTTCCATTCTACAGATATGACCGAACAATCTCAATTTTCTTTTCTTTATTTTGTCCACTATGGTTTCGTGGGTCGCTATTTTATTTCTGATGTCGACGTTTCGTACCATGTCTTTCCAACAGATTTGTAATATTCTTCGGTAGCATTTCATTTCAAATGCAAGCAACTTCTTTTTGTCTGCGTCTTTTAGTGTCCACGTTTCTGAGGCATAAAGTAGTACGCTGAACACGCAAGCATTTAGAAGTTTCAATTTGTTTTCGATCTTTAGTTTCTTTGTACCCCATATATGTTTCAGATTGGACATCGCACCGATTGCTTTGTTGATTCGTCGTTTAATTTCTGCTGAACAGTTGTTGTTCCAAGTCACCATACTGCCTAGATATTCAAATTTCTCGACGTTTTCAATGGTTGTGCCTGTTATTTGTATTTCTGTATCGATTGTTTGATCACCGAATACCATCGTTTTGGTTTTAGTTGTGTTCACTATCAGCCCTGCTTTTCTAACTTCTTTTGTAACTTGTTCAATTTGATTGTGAAGTGAATTGCAGTCTTCGGCCAGGATATTAATGTCGTCGGCGAATCTTAAGTTGTTTATTAGTATTCAACTGATACTGCCTCCGTTGTCTTTCTGCATTGCGGTGTCCATTACTCTCTCCAGATAAGCGATGAACAGGAGTGGTGATAAAGGATCGCCTTATCTGGTTCCAAGAGTATTTTGGAACCACTCGCCGATATCGGTGCCTATTCGCACCGCCGATTGTAATTTTTCGTAAATCTGTTGCAGTAGTATAACCAGTTTATTTTCGACTCCGTAAGATCTTAGGACAGCCCATATGATCTTGTGCTTAATGGTATCGAATGCTTTTTGGAAGTCGACGAAACAATTGTATAACTTCTTGCCATTTCTTTTTGCTTTCTCCGCTAGGAATCTGAGCATCAGGATTTGTTGAATTGTACTTCGATCTTTTCTGAATCCTGCTTGTTCTTCTGCCAGATGTGGATCCAGTTGATGTTTTAGTCTGTTTAGCAGCACCATGAGTAGAATTTTCCCCGTATGATTTATGAGAGAAATTGTTCGATAATTTGAGCACTCACCGAGGTCTCCTTTTTTGGGGATTAGTACTAAGATTGATTTTCCCCATTGTTCTGGAATTGTTTCTTCTTTCCATGCTCTGTTGCACAGTTCATGAATTTTGTGCGCCAGTTTTTCGCCTCCAGCTCGAAGCATTTCGGCTGTGATTTCGTCGATCCCTGGACTTTTGTTTTTCTTCAGTTTGTGTATAGCTTCTTTTACTTCAGCATATAAGATTTCATTTGTATTGTCGTTATAAGGAGGGGTTATGACTTCAAGTTCCTTCACCATTTCTTCCCCACATCCTTTGTCTTCATATAAAGTGCTACAGTATTGTGTCTATCTTTGTTTGATGTGCTCTGTGGACTGCAACATTGTGCCATCTTGTTCTTTTATGACGGTCAATTTTGGTGTGTACTTGTTTTTTAAGATTTTTACCAAACTGTACGCTTTTCTGCTGTTGCCAACTTGTAGTCCTTTTTCAATTTCTTCACATTGATCTTGTATCCACTTTTCTTTGTCCTGTCGTGCCGATTTTTCACTTTGTTACACAGGTTTTTGTATTCTTTGATGCTGTCTGCTGAGAGATGTTTGATTTGTTTTGCTTTTCTTTTCTTATCTGTCAGATCTAATGTTTGATCGAAGATCCAGGACTTTTTTGACGTTTTTTCCAATGTGACAGTCGCTTGTAGTGCTTCTTTGACTGCTTTTTCAATTTGTGCTGCATGTTCATTTAGATTACATGTTGAGTGAATGTTCTTTAAGTTGTCTTCTATTCTTGCTTGATATGATTGTCTGGTTGTTTGGTCTTTAAGTTGGCTCACATCATATCGTTGGTTGTGTCGTGGTTTGTTTTTCAGTTTTAATTTGATATTGCACAGCACCAATGAGTGGTCTGAGCTGATGTCTGCACCTTGGAATGTTCTACAGTTAGTGACAGATGTTTTCCATCGTTTTTGAACGATCACTAAGTCGATCATATTTTTGTGAATGCCATCTGGTGATTCCCATGTCCATTTCCGATTTGATGTTTGCTGAAATCTTGTGTTACAAATGAATAGATTGTGTTCTGCAGCAAACTCCAATAGTCGTTCACCGCGTTCATTTCTACTTCCATAGCCGTATCTACCCATGACGGACTCCCAACCGGTATTATCAGTTCCCACCTTTGCATTCCAATCACCCGTGATGATGATCACATCTTTTTTGGGTACTTTTTCTATAGCCTCCTCAACGCAGTTGTAGAATGTTTCGATGTCATCTTCAGATGAATCGGATGTTGGAGCGTATGCATGAATTATTGTTACATTAAATGGTGTTGCATTGAATCTTGCCATGATTATTCTGGAGTTGATTGGATTGTAGCTCATGAGTGATTTTTTGGCTTTTGTGCTGAGAAGGATTCCAACACCTCTTATGTGGTTGCTGTTTTCTCCTGACCAGATGAAGTCACCTCTTGGTATTTCTCTTTTACCCGTCCAGCGAACTTCTGAGATACCGATAATGTCGTATCTATATCGATTCATTTCATGTCTCAACAGATCAAGTTTTCCAGCTGCCCATAGCGTTCGGACATTCCAAGTTCCAACAGTGAGCGTGTTCTTCGTTATCTTTAGTTTTTGTGTTTTGCATTTGGGAACTTTTGTTATTGTAATTGTTGATTTGTTTGTTATCCTTGCTGGTCTCGTTGATGTTCCCGTGGTATTGGTTGTTACTGAATCTCTTGTTTTTACTATTACTGAATTCGTTGTTGTTGAATTCGTTGTTGCTGAATTCGCTGTTGCTGAATTCGCTGTTGTTAAATTCGTAGTTGTTTGATTTGGTTTTCTTGTTTTGGCTCTTCCTGGATCTGTTATTGTCTTTGTTGTTGTTGATGAGTCTTTTGCTTTTACTGTTGCTGGATTCACTGTTGTTGAATTTGTTTTTCTTGAATTTGCTGTGGTTGGGTTTGTTGTTAAAATCGTTATTGATGGATTCGCTGTTGATGAATTCGTAGTCGTTGCATTTGCTGTTGATGAATCTGTTGTTGGTTTTGTTTTTGTTGTGGTTGTTGTTGCTGTTCCAGTCGCCAATTTTTCGACTCTGTCCTGGTTCCTCGACAGAGGACGCGGACCTTGTTCAGCCGGGCGACGTCCGAGCCGGTATGATTTTCTGTATTGATCACACATAGTTGGGTTCTTTCGTCTTGTCTTTTTACAGAGGGCGGTATCTGCACCCCTTTCGTCTAACGCTCCTCCTTTTCCCGGACTTGCGACCGGCACGGGAATCGCTGTGTGGCGACTCCTATGGTGGAGTTCCTTTTGTAATAGTATACGTGAAATACACGTATACACAACGTGCATATACAAAAATTTAATAGATATATATAAATATGTAAACAAATATTTTGTTATTCACTAAAAATTATAAATTATAAATCAACAAATGTCGTACAATAATTATGCTAACATGTCAACAGAAATGAAAGATCGAATGGTTGAAGGTACAGATATACAGCAACAAATCACGACTTTCAATAGTGAAAGAGAAAAATTTGGCATGATTCGCACACCCAAACGACATCATTCAGATGAACAACGAACAAACACTGATGATGGTCAAATTATGTTGTCAGATAATGATGAAGAATTTCGGCTCGTCACACACCAACGCAAGAAATTCCAACGTGAAAGCAAGGACAATCATTATCAAAAACAAAGTGACGTCATACATACGAATGAAGAATTGAATCACTTACAACAAGAAAAACAATAGTTCATACAGAAAAGAAAAATAACAATCACCTCACGCACGTTTGTCAACGAAGAAATGGCATCGATGAATCATCATTATCTGAAGAATAAACAAAAGAAAGGATATGTCAAACAATCTGAACAAACAAATTACCGTGTGCACCAAAATAATGATAATTACCTTAATAATCATTCAAATCAACAGAAACGACAAATGGAGCACCAACCAAAGCTTTTTATTTCTAATAATGCTCTTCATTATGCCATTGAACAACATTTACCACCTATAAATATCAAATGTGAACCGAAAGTAATCAATCAAAAACATGGCACTATACTCATAAAAGAATTATTCTCAGCAATTGAAAAAGAGTTTCGGAAACTAAATGCTAAATATGTTAAACCTCTTGGATTTGATTATTGGTTTATTGATCGGGACGGTAATCTACAATGCTATACACGAGAAATTGAACTGTTCGTATTTCTCTGTGATCCACAAAATTATCCTATTAAGCTATCAAATTCAACAACAATTAATCCTAATCCTCCAAAACGACTCCCTCCACAACGTATGATCATTCTTAAATATGTACCAAGAGATATTCATATTAAAGATATTAAAAATGAAACATTTTCCAAATATAAATCAGTTTTCAACATTGAAGAAATGCGAGGAACAATAGATGGGAAAAATCGACATGTACGTCTTGATTTAACAGATCATGAAGATTACATGCGTGTGCTCAATGGAGGAGTGCTAGTAATCGGGGGCTAACTAATCGAAGTCTCTGAATTTCTTGCGCCACCTCGATTGATTATTTGCTCAAGGTGTAATACACCCGCGGTCATTTAAAAAAAGAATGTAAGAACGACTTCGATCTTTGTCGAAGATGCAGCGAAAACAGAATCAAAGGTGAACATACACAATGTATTATCAAATGTCATCACTGTAATAGCAATCACGAATCTACCTCCTTTCAATGTCCACTTATTGCTGACTTTCGAAAGAAACTAATTATTAAACTCAAAAATAGACCTGATCTTCTACCACAGAATGTCCAACTATTGATTCCTACTCAATACTGTCGTCATGGTGAAAAAAATAATCGCATACTGTGTAATAATACAATTCAAGCGTCTATACAAGGGTGGGGTGTGGGTGTGGGTGTGGGTGTGGGGTGTGGATGATAACCGGACGCACATTGACAAGTACACCCACACCCACACATCCTATAATTAGGGACAATTGTTGTTGTGATTCAGATGATGAATGTGCTGTTCCAATTGTACATCGTTTTCATTCACCATCCAATGATAATGATCTCTTCTCGTACAGCTTCGATGTGGGTTCTGTTCATGTTGCGTGCTATTCCATGAAACATGACTTTCTTCCTTCATCATCACAATATGCTTGGATCAAGCATGATCTAAGTTCTGTAGATCGCAATCGTACACCATGGGTAATTGTTGGATCACATCGACACATGTTTTCGTCAATAGTACATGATGTCGATGATTCAATAAAAGCAATGTTACAAAAGTATCTGGAGTCCATATTTTACAAATATCATGTGGATATTAATCTTTTTGAACATATTACATATTTATAGACATGGTTATTATAAAATCGAGTGTGAACCGTTTCTGTTAATGTTCTTAACTCATCGATATACTGTCGAGATACTTATTGTTTAGATCATTAAATAGGAACTATTTATTATTGTTTAAACTGATATTAAAACTGCATTGATTATAGCTGGAACAAAATTTGTCCATTTAACGAGAAAGTTCCAATGGTTGCATAAGTAACCGATGCCTGATCACTTCTCTTGGATAGCTGTTAAACGAATAACTATAGTAAGATCGAGATCATCGCCATCGTCATAATCACTGGTAGAGCTTGTAGATATTCTCGAAATAATTGCTTGAATTTGATTCTCAACTAAAATCTTGCTAACTTTTTTCACATATTCTTAAATTTGAGATAACTTTGAAGATAAATAAGCATGTTGCTATATGTTGCGAGCAAGGTGGAAAAGCGACTCCTGATGGATCCTGGTAGATGCCGCCAGGATCCATCAGGAGCCGCCCCCTCCCCCCCTGGTTGCGAGGTTATGAAAGAACAAGTAGTAGCGACGGGATTTGTCTGTTTGTTGTTCATAAATTTCTTTTCTCGTCAATGTTCTAAAAAACACATGCTCAACTTTCGATCGCTAAATTCTGGAGATCTTTCTATGCGTCACATTATAGAAATATACTGAAGAAAAAAAATATAATTGCAATTTCCTTCCAAAAGTGAAAGTAAAAATGGAGTTGCCGATCATCATGTGTCAAATGAGATTATTCGAGTCATTCGAAGTCATTATCTGCTAGAAAAACAACTAGATAAGTATAACGTTCATGATGAAATTTTCACAGCTGATCTCCATGAAATGCGATATATATTAATAACGACCAAAGCCACATTTCGTCTGAAATTCACTTGAATTGCAATTTATTCTTTATTGAGAAACATTCTTCTCCATGGATGCATATCGGGTGAATATATGGCCGATATAGGTGTTTGTGGATGTGAGTATGAGTGTGGTTGTGTGCGTGTCCGGGTGTAGATGTAGATTTATGGATTAATAGAAGGCTCACACACCACATCCACACCCATTATTAGGGTCTGCTGTTACGCTGTTTTTAATAATTGAGGGATAAATATGTATCTTTGTTTGATCATTCTATAGCCTATACTCGGATTGTTTAGACAATAGAATATGTTATTATATATATAAACGTTTATGACGAATTATTTGTACAACTGTTACATTGAATGTTAAATTTAGAAAATCTTGATTTTTATCTTATTTGTGGCAAAAAAAGAAACATTAATGATAACAAGTTGAAAAAGAATACTATCAATCATATATCACCATTAAACAAATTTTTATTTTATATTTACTCATCCATTCATTTTAATTATCATATTGATTTACCATCAAATGAAGATATTCAACATACATTTAGAGATTTTGAAGATAATCAAATTATTTCTTGTGTTGATTATTTTCCAAATAGAATAGAAGATCAATGTGATGTCTACTCATACTGAACTTTTACCAAAATATAACAAATAATTTCCCAGGCGAATTAATTAAATGTATTCACAAAATATCATTATTTGATGAACATCCTGTTGAACATGAATCCTTTCTTCGAATTTATCAACCATTTCTACTCATAAAGAAAATTAGATCCATCAAAGAGGAAGCCACAAAATGGCAATCAAGCTTTATCAATTATCGAATATCCTCATCTGAATGAACTTGATCATACTAAAGTTGATGATGACTAAGCTGAACAAATTCTAGTGGATAATAAAATGTATTTACCAAATAACGTCTATCCGCTTTATTGACTGTGTCTTTACAAAAAGTGACACATCATTTCATAAGAGATACAACATGAACTAATTGCGCAAATCTAACTTATATGTATTTTTCTAATTAATCAAAATTCTTTAACATTTAAAAGACTATTTTTCTTATAGAAAAATATTTTGATTATATCAATTATGGTTTGAATTGAACATAAAGTGAGGTGAATGTGTGGTATGTAGATCTTTTCCGCACACATATTTACACGCCCATATTCATTTTCTTGAAGATAGATGACATGATATATAAAGATTGATTTTATTTTTCAAGCAAAAGCATGAGCCACATTACAACTTTGCATCAGCGAAGCAGTCCAATATGCAAAGTGGGACAATAGTCTCCACCGTCGCCGACACGCCGACTCGCCAGTGCAGCTTTGAGAACAATAAGCAAGGGTTAGTAAAACAATGTCTGAAAACATTCTTATAGAATAATTATGCAATTATCCACAAGAAGATGTTCATAGATAAAATACTTGTGCATGTGTTTTACGTATTAGTCTTTTTTGTTTTTATTTCACTATATATCATATTTTGTTGACGAGGTGTGATTATTAATTGCCATTCATGAGAATGGTTGAACCGTAGTATTATGAGTATGGAGACGACCTTTGATCAGATAGTAGATGCGTACACCATTCCAGATTATGAATCGTAAGCTGATAGTGAGCCCACCATAAAGAGCAAGCAATGATGTTACTACATACAAAATACTGTTGCGTCGAAGATACTCATAACGACAAGTACTGGGTGCACATGCCGCAAAATAGTTCTCGTAAGAGACTTTTTTTGTCCACTGCTCAATAAACATTTCATCGATAAGTGTACCAATGAGAGTTGTTGGAAAAAATCGCGACGGGGTCGAATTGTCGAGTGGAGCAACGACAAATGAATGTACTGTCGGCATAGTGAAATTGAGAGGAGAGGATCCATCCATCTGAGTGTAGTATTCAAGAAAATTGAGAATATCATTGATGCAGCTTGGTGAAAAGAAACACTCGAGTGTTGATATACGGAGTCCATCGTACGGTGAACAACTGCGGATAAGACCAGGAAACACTAGCCCTGGTGGGCCAATGCGTAGTGGCTCCTGGCATTCGCTTGAGACAACACAATTACATGTACTGTTGGCGAAACTGTGAGGTATGCTGCGTAGAAGATAGCTATCCGATTCGTTACCATACTGTATCGTCCAGTCTGTATTGAAGGCCGTTGGAAGTAGGCTAGAGCGAAACATTTCAATGATACTTTTATATTTGACGAAAAAGTCGATTTGAATTCGCCAGATGAATAGAGAAATGTACTGCTTTACTTCCTCGTCAAACGACGTTCTGGATAGTGCGGATGCACTCACCAGCACTGTCCTTTGAATATTGGATAGTCTGTAAGCTATGATTAACTGATTTGTTTCACACAACCAGCCCAAGATTTGAAGTTCTTTGCTGAGTAATGGTCGATCAAGCTGCAGATAACTGTTTGCAGATGCGCCATAGCCGTAAAGTAAAGTTGTCCATGTATTATTGATAAATGCACTTGAACACACCTTCAAAAACAGTAAACTTACGGTATTGGATCAAAGCAAGTGAGCCACAGCTGTATGCTGTAAATAAAAGTGGTGCCGTACCGAACCTTAGAGACTCGAAAATAGTAGCAGAAACACAAGAAGATAGGATCCTTTTTTAAGCTTCACTAGTATATTGATCAATCCTACAAAGCGGTAATGAATCATTCATAAACTTTTCACTATAATTTTATAAATAGTACTCATCAACATTCGTTGATCATTATCTGACAGACCACTGTATTATCAAAATCTAATTCAGATTCTTCTAATTTCTCATCAGATTCCCCTGTATGTACGGACTCAGAAAAGCTACGAAAATTAATTATCTGCAATCCTCATGCATTTATAAAATCACGAAAATGAATAAAAACTGCAAGGCTCGGTGTATAATTCTAGCAGTAAGCAGTAGTCTATTTGCTATAGATTCGAGTTACGTTTAAACTGTAAAGCGAGTTAGTTTTTATAATATCATCTAACGGATGGATCGAAAATTTTGAGACAAAATGTTTGATCATTTTTGGCCCACTTAAAAGTATTTCAGACGAGTAGAAACCTATGAATTAGAACGAAAATTTTCTGCTCTTTCTGAATATGAGTTTAGAAATTGAGTGTCAGATTTTGTTCAAGAGTAATGAGGGAATCTTTGCAAGGCCTGAAAAATTAGTTTGGACAACAAATTTTTTCGCATTTTTTATATTTTAACTATTGTAATTCGAGACTTAAAGTCGGAATCTTTTTTACTCTATCAGCTGGTAGAGAAAAATCTGCCCTACAACATGTACTATGAGGTTTTCGTGGTCGTTAAGCAAGACACTTCAGTTTTTGTTTTTCCTACAGCCTCATATTTGAAAAATCAACTTTTTCATAAAAAGATGTTTTACATAAACAGGACCTTCTGACATAGTGCATATAATTTCACTTGTATCAAAGCTACAACTTAATTCAATATTACATTTTCTAAAGAAGTGTCCGCTCTACAAAAGTACAGTGTCCGATAATTTTTAACATCTTCGCAAAGGGGCATATATGGGTTAGGAAAAACCTGTTTATGTGTC